TACCTGCAATAAACTAAAAAGGCTTTGTCAATTAGTATCCATCTGTCTCACGACTGTTTCAATATAATTCCGTAGAAAAAGCAACATTGAAATACATCACTGAGCAATATCCACCGATAAAATGCTACACGTATAACCTAAAATCGAGAAAAGCCAAAGAACTCACGGGTTCCTTGACATCGCCAGCAACCGATAGGCCAACAGACCGAGTGTATGATTAGCCAAGCCTTGTACATGCACAAATAAGTAAAAGAAAACGTTAGAATACTCAAATTTAACATTTGTTTTCATAAAATATGCTTGTAAACAACGCATACTTCAAGCACACAAACCTGCAACGACATCACCTAACAAGGACAAATTAAATATCAAATTAGCCACCACTGTTCCAGCCAATGAAAGACGAGTAAACCTGAGGCGCGGAGAAATTAAACCGTCATAACCTATACCCTCGCCCACACTCTAAGCATATTGGTTGTAATGATTAGTGTTTCATGCGGAATCAGTCGAAACATCGCTATAATGAAGAAGATGGAGTAGGTGGAGGGTAATGTCATCTACACAAATAGTTTACTTCTTGTAGAAGCTGCAGCTTTCGACATAGTGCCATTCAATGAAGACCACGTCAAAATGTAGCTATTTTTGTGTGCAGAACAGTACTGTTTGACAAAAGAATGCTATCAGTACGTTGGAATCACCTATAAATGCTAACAGAACCCTCTGTGGGAACAGAAGTTATCATGTAGCCGTGTCTTTCACTGTATGTGTTTGGACAGGAATTATGGTAAGTTGAAAGGTTATCTCTAAGTGAATTTAATACATATTTACATTGATTTGCGCAGTATAATATGGGTTATGTATTAATATTGTGCCATTGTTTGCTTAGCTGACTGCTAGGCTAAGAAATGTAGGTAGCTCTCGTGATTGTTGCAAGTGCAGTGCATTTGAGAGGATTAGAGGTTTTGCGTGCACTTTGGAGTGTGAGGGCGATTGTTACTTCCCGGCTGCCCACACCGTGGAAGTTGTGAATAACTGCAGAATAAACGTAAAAGCCAATGTGTAAACGAACGGCTACGGAACTGCAATCCAACATGGCCGACTAACATGGACGGAAATGACCTTTGAGCGTCTCACCCATCAATGACCTTGAACATGCGGGATAATTTCAGCCAAACCAGTGTGGGATTAATATAGAGTTTACCACTTAGTTGCTCGCTTACTGACTTGGCAGAGCGACGCTTTTAATCTATATTTTCAATAGACCCAGCACTGTTCAACTGTCTGCCAAAGATCGAGGTAAATGTGCCATCTATTCTTAAATTGGTGACATACAGAATACTCAGCCTAAGATAAGCGCCTCTGGCTGCTAGTCATTCTTTCCGAGAAGTAACAGTAGAGACCCTGAAAGGTTCTCATGGAGTCTTTCAGCAAGATTTACCTGAAACGATCTTCTGACACTCAGTTCTTAAGTCTTCACTATGCCCTATGTTTAGTTTGACTCCTTGTGAACCATCATGCAAACCATGCTTTCAGCTTTGATTGTACAATATGCTGAGTGCTTGCCGACAACCTTGAGTAGTGCTCCTTAGTGTGTAATTTGACTACGTGGGGATGGTATTTGAGATTGCTGTAAGAATATTAGTATTTATTATTGTTCCCTGGGGTTCCTAGTGGAACATAGGGCTTCAACTGCACGTCTCCAGTTGCTTCTGTCTTTTGCTGTACTTTTCACTTGCATCCATGTTAATCCATATTGTTTCAGTTCCTCTTCACACGATCTCCTCCATATCACCCTTGGACGTCCCACTCGCCACTTCCCTTTCGGGTTCCACTCGAGCGTTGGCCTGACGCGCGATGTCACCCAGCGGCCTCCTCAGCGAGTGTCCAATCCATCTCCACTTTCTCCTGTATATTTGTTGAGCGATTGGTTCTTGTTTCGTTTGTCCCCATAGTTTCTTGTTGGTGATTCTTTCCGGCCATCTGATCTTCAGTATGGAACGAAGACAGCTGTTGATAAAGGTCTGCAACAGGCTGTTGGAAATATTCTTTGTGACCCACTGGCCAAGTTTCTGATCCATACGTGTAGAAGAACTGACTTGACGTTTGTATTGAAAATCCGAATTTTGTTGTTGATGCTGAGTGACGAAGATTTCCAGATTGGTTTCAGGTTAATGAATGTGTTTTTCGCCTTTCCGATTCTCGATTCGACAACCTCGTCCATTCCTTCTGAAGTTGAGACAATGCTCCCTAGATAAGTGAATGAAGTAACCTCTTTCAAATCCCTATCGTTGATGGTGATTGGCGCTGTATGTTGCTGCTGCTGTTGTTGTTGGTTGGTTATTTTCACAATTGCTGTAAGAATAATCACTTTTAACGCCTAACAGTATCCCTCATTTGATAGTTCTGTTCAGTTTGTGAACCATTAATTGTCAGTTAAATGCCTTTGTATTTTGATGGAGTAGATGCTATTTTAGTATATTCAGGGTTGAGTAACGTCTCACTGTAGGCTCTCGCAAAGAACCACATGAAACACTGTGGCTACATGGTCACTGCTACTTATTGGGGTCCTAAACTAAAATTTTTCTACTAGCAGCTGATCACTAGGTAGGATGCATTCCACTTCTGAATACTTTCCACTGGAGCGTAGTCTAGTGGCGTCTTGAAAGTTTTCAATGAATCTGACATTCCTGGTGGTGTGTAGCAAATTTAGATCAAATCTTTCATGAACACACCCAGACTTTAGTTTATTCGAGAGGGCAGTGAAATCCTTAGCCACATTTATTTTGTCATAGCCCAAGTTACGTATCGTTGAAATAGTGCTGGACAGTAGCCAGTTATGTAACGCTTTACGGAAAGAAGGTCAGCAGACGAGGCTTAATAAATGCTTGGTGCAACCTAGGGCGAAATAGTGCCATATTGAGTCATGGGGTTCAGAGAGTGACAGGTTTGTGCGCATCTTAGCTGCTTCTGCAAATCTGTCTGCTTCCTGATGATCCATGACCCTCTCAATATGGACCATATCGCATATTCTGACTACCTTGTAGGCAGTAGTCAGGGTTAACCAGGATTCAGTCAGAATTAGCATTTCAAAATCCAGACGGCACTGGGATTAAAATTATACTTCCTGTCAGTGATTTGACGTTTCAGTATAAGTAAATGAACGTACGCCTCTCGAATAGTTATGGATTGGTTAAACTGGAGTGGAGCTTCTAAAGTGAAAATAATTCCAGAAACAGACCATCAGAACATTAGCAGAGAGCAGCAAAGTTTAGTTTAGTAGACATTAATATATGAGAAAAACAGGAGGTCGACCAAGAATGGTTAATTCCGAAGATGCATATATATTTGCTTTCCAGTCAAAACTTCCAGGAGAAATCAACATTCTTCGGGATTGAATTTCTTGTTGCGACATTGTTGGTAGTCAACTTGGAGCCGTTGTTGAAAGCATTACAGTGTAAACATTCCATGCATCAGAAACACTGCTCCACAGTTTGTTGATCCAAGGCTGATAAGCTAAGGCGTTCTATGATAATGCTCACTGTACCTCCTTGACAGTTTGCTGGATAGTAAAGTCACAGCCAATTAATGGCTTTTGTAATTTCATATTAGTTTGTTTATTAGATATATCACACAGTGAAACAGTATCCAGTAAATGATACTGTTTCACTGTGTGATATTTATTTTATTTTTTATTTTTTTGATTACAGCTTGATGCCACACCGTATTTTCAGTACAAGTATGGCATTTTCAGCATTGATATCGGTGGCTCAAATTTTGCAGGCCGACCATAGATATCGGGTGTGCGTCGGTAGGGGATCGAACCCCGGACCATGTGCACGGTCGGCGAGAGTCCTAACCACTGTGCCACCGACACAACAAACAAACTAATATGGAATTACTTACTACCACAGTGCCCAAGTTTTACACATATATTAAATTGCTTTTGTAGCCAGCTCGGATAGCATAATTCGCTAGTTTAATCATAGGGGAACTAAAAGTTCAGTTCGTTACCTAGTAGGAATACCAAACTTTGAGATCCATCACGAAAACAACTGAAGGGCTTGGTTAAGTCCATTAGTAACCAGGCAGAATGTTGCCCATAAGATAGGTATCCTTCAAATCGTTTTCAGCAAGTTACAATGTTTCTCCACGTAGATACCACATGGTATCTCCAACTTGGGTCTGATGTTTGCAGTGAAGGCATCTTTAGTGGTTTCTTCAGTCAGTTCCTGGGTGTTGAAACTGAACTGTCATCCATCTCCGAATTCTGTGAATGCGTTCAATTTGACCCCGAAGGTTACATGCATTAAACAGTTGTTTGAGCCACACCTCCTCCACTCCTCGATTGTGCGTCCAGCAGGCTAATTCCACTTTCCTGAAATTAGAATTAAGTCCATCTGCTACTTGGTCTGCATATCTGGTGTAACCCATGTGATTTTGTGTATGTCTTTGTTCATGTGCTAGCTCTCTCCAACCACCAAAGCATTGAAGCCGCTGAAATATGCTCTTTGGCTTTTGCCAAGAGTGGGTAAACAGGAGTTAATATAAGTTTAATGTCATTAAGCTTAAAACTCTCCCTTTATGCAGCTCAAGCTTTTCCAGAACCATATAAGATGGTGACCTAGTTGTCTTTATGACCAAGAACCTAGTTACTGATAGGAAACTATCTGGGATATTCGGCAGACAGCATAACGCACTACATTTGATTAGAAGGCAGACGAATGCAATCACACTATAGATAAGACTCTATAAAATCTATGTTTGACTCCACCTGATAGTCTACTTTATCATCTCTCCATCATTTTATCCATTATGGGTTTGTGCGCTGCAACAGTGCTCAAGTTGTATTCTTATGACCCAACACAGATTTTTTTATTATAGCTTGATTCCACACGGTATTAAGGGTACAATTGTGCAATTTTCAGCATGTGATATAGGCCGACCAGTTGATATCAGCTATGCGTCGATTGGGGATCGAATCCCAGACCATGTGTATGGTCGGCGAGAATCCTAACGGCCGCGCCACCGAGCATGATCAGGAGTAACTTTGTCAATATCAAAAATCAAAGCAAAATAATCAAATGATCTCATACTAGCTTGTCGGAAGTTAATTGGACGCCTTAAATATCTCAATGAGTAGTACGTGTTCGCAGTTTTCAAACTCAGAAGCTACAATTATGTCATTAGATCCGAAGTATGCGAATTTGCCATGGATTGTAAGTTCAGATAAGCAAGAAATCTTATATGAATTAAGGCACATGGACAACCTGATGTTTATGAGGCTGGAGAACTGCCAGAGGCTGATCAATATGTTCAGGTGCTTGCTATTATAGATAAGTCTAAACGTTTGTAGGATACGTTGCAAGACACAGTGACAGCAAAAGAAATCGAAACCGTCAATCTGTCGGTATCCGAGGCTCACAAGAAGTTTGCTAGCTTCAATGTTGACGCTTCCAACGTCGGTTAGTTTTATCGGTTGTAAAGTGATTGCAAACTTAAGACTTTTCCGACAGTATATCAGGCAGTGGCAAGATTGGATATGCCGTTGAGACAAATCAATATGATTTTGTAAGATTTACTGATTTGTTGTTATTCCTTAGCTTTCTTCCGAGTCTAGAAACCAAGAATCGCTTTTAAAAAGATTTCAGCGTTTGCAGACTGAAACTCATGAGCTAATTAAGGATATTCAAAGCATATCTGATCAGAGTGAAGTAAATCCCAAGGAACCTTTTCCCGCATCAAAAATGTTGTCTTGTGTGGAAACACTTTGCGAAAAGTTAACTGAAATACAGTCTACTGATTTAACTACTGTCTCTTTGGATGGATCAGATGCTGTCGGGAAAACATTGCACAGGTAAGCTGTTTTTTAATTAAAGCTGCAAGATAATGTAGCAAACTGCACCTCAGTGTGATAAATTCATCAGTGGAATTCTTCAGCAAGTATGTGTATATACTTGGGCTAGTTTTATTTTTAAAACTAAGTGTTCGACGTCATTTCTTCACGGATGCATAGTAATGGAGATTATTTTATTCAGATCACCTTAGACTTTGGACTTACATTATATTTTGTGCTCATAGTAAATCTACCGGGCAATTAAGTATTCACACATTGTTTATTTACTTCTTTGCCTTCGTTAACACAGTAAGGAGACTTATGCTTTGTTTCGTTCTGTAGTTCTGCATATTAATATATGTTTTGTCTTCTAATTCTGTGGATAAATCTGAGCATTGGTACGCAAATTATCTGGTCTTTGTACTTTGAATGTAAAACTGATTCCAAATCCATTATTGCATAACTAGGTTTACGAAAAATTCTATTTAATCAATGGAGTTGTCATTTCTAAGATTATGGTCTTCATGCGCTTATGGATTCAATAAATATAATTCATTCGGTTAGGTTGTTACTTCACTTGGCTATTTAAGAATACTGGGACTCTTACTCAAAACTTAGCCGGAATACGTTTTTCTCGCGCTGGACTGTGTGCCACATTCAGTATTTTGGACTGGTAATACTGTCTAGTTGTCCAGGTTGAATTAGATGAGTGTGCAGTTCTCATCAGGGGCCTGCTGTTTGTAAGGCAATTGTTCAGTCTGTGAGTCACATCACTATTAAAACGACAAAATGATTGGATGTTAGTTCCAACTGCTTGTATATCCCCCCTCAAAAGGAAATGATCGGTATTTGAGTTGGTCCTTCAAGTATAACAAAGTATTAGTTAAAGCGATAAATGTAAGCATTAATTACCATGCTACTTTGCTTTTAATTCAATATATTAAATATTCCCATAGTAAAATTTAGAACAACACATTTTTTAGAACACACACAATTTTAATTCAATGTTTATTTTCCCGTCATTTACTTGAACCGAGATGTCCGGTGTCTCTTGACATGTTGGCGCCTAATGTAGACGTTCCAGCGATGTCTTTGGCGTTTAAAACAATGAGTACTGAGTTCGAGCCTCAGCGGGGACACCATCAATTCCTGGGGAATGCAGGCACGTATGGATAACGGGTCACAAATAGGACGAAATGCTTGATTTCACTGCTAGTTGCTATCTAACAAAAAAATTACCACGGTTAAGAACAATTTTTACTCACCGTTTTTGTGTACTATATATTCTCTGGGCTTCCAGGTCAAGAATGTGTACGGCTCTTCACGACGCATATTTAAGCTTATGTGAAACTTTCGGTTTTCAAACAACATATATCTACTCCTGACTTTTCTGACTATTGTTTTTCCCTTTGTTAGTTGTTAGGATATTTCCACATGCATTGTATGGTGATGATTGTTGTATTTTCTTTGACTTTAGGACTGTCATCAGTTGGTTGGAAAATTTGTCTTTTTACATAGATTAATATCATCATCATTAATATCATCAACGTTTCATACAAAAACACCAGTTAGAACCGAGACATACAACCGCTCATCTCGATTGTTTTCATCCAGCAATGGAAATAAACAAGGTTTCTCGATCTCGTCATTTCTCTTAAACTTTGAAGGTGGTGACATTCTGAAGGCAGCTTAGAATAATGTGGGTGGTTGGAAAATCAATCGAAGAGTCTATAAAGTTACATAGATTGAGATGGCTAGGTCACGTGCTGCGCATGCCTAGCCATCGCCTCCCCCGACGGGCATTACTAGCTGATATAGGTGCAGGTTGGAAAAGAGTAAGTGGTGGCCAAACAAAAACATGGCACCAATCCATGAAATCCTTGACAGTTAAACTGAGTCAGGTAGGGAGATGCAGACTTCCGGGTTGGGGCCCTCGGGATTCTAAGAATCAATGGCTGGAGACAATAGGTGACATGGCTCAAAATCGTTGTCAATGGCGCAGATGTATTCAGTCTCTGTAATCTTTCATATTCCTTTCTACCATTATTCATTCTGTTTCACTCTTATACTTGTCAAAACTCTATTGATTCTCTTCACTCATTTTCTTGTCTACCTTAGTGTTCTCTTTGGAACGTGGCAACTCGAACTGCTGCACTTCGGTGCCAAGTTCTATGTTGAATCCAGCCAGCCAGCAATGTGGGTGGTGATGTAAATATCTATCCACCCCCGTCAAAATTTTTCGATTTGATAATGTAGAGGATATCGTACCATAATACACGGGCTTCTCAAATAGCACTTAATACTATAAGTATAAAACTTGGGCACTGTGGTAGAGCATAACTCCATTATGGATAAGATTTTATTTTGATAAATCACAGTGTTGTACAGTAATATTAACTGATGACGTTTCGAGCACAAACTATTGCTCATAATCATATCAATAGCAATAGTTTGTGCTCGAAACATCAGTTAATATTACTGTACAGCACTGTGTGATTTATCAAAATAAAATCTTATCCATAATGGAGCACTTAATAAGTTAGCATTACTGTTTGTAAGTGGTGTACTAAGTCACAAACCTCTTTATGTCTAACTATAATCCTTTTTAGACGTTGAATCTACTCCAAGCACACAGTAATAATTACGTAATGCAGTGGGAAAATATTATCAAAATATAAGAATTAATGGAATTCTATTAATTATATCTGAAAGTTATCTGAGTTTCTTGATGTAACTTTAAGAAATAAATTGTGCTGGAAATGTCATCAGTGAATAAGTAATACTGTTATATCAAACAAATTATTCTGTTATGGAATTTCTAATTACCTACGTATAATAAGTTTAAAACTGCGAGACCTTCCTTAATCTTTACATTGATAACGTATCAAGATTTTTTTTATGAAAGTAGTTGATAATACGTTGTTTCTCCTAAAGGCAGCGAAATTAACCAAGTATTAACAATTTTCAGCAAAATTTTGAAGCAAATCGATGAGTTCAAACCAGAAAAGCCAATGTCCAGAAAAGTAGATGAGTCCAGCCACTTAGTTTATGAAATATACGATGGTAAAAGCATCATCCAGCAAACAGATGCTGAGAAAGTAAGTATTCATATAGTGTCTACATTTTTTTGAATAACTGAAATCGTTTTTGATGTTTTGAACTCCAGGGAAACAATTGTTTTACACTGATTAGCATATTAGCAGAAGTTGATCATTGACTTTATTGCTTCAGAAAAATTTGCACTGAACTCAAAGATCCGTTTGCAAGTTTCTTCCCTATATTCATTGAGTATTTTAATCGTTTTTGACCATTATCAGCTTCTGCTTTGAATGAATATTAGAATAATAATGACTTAATAGTGACAGCTCGAATAGTATTAGGACTGATTAAAGTGGTCAGAAGAAAATTAGCTATTTTTACTATGGAAAGCTATTTCATCCTGCGTTACCTATAAAATGAATTGAGTAGGTAAGAGTAGCTATAAGATGCTATCAGTGCCTTCCCAAATACTCTAGTTACTGTTTGTTGTAACGAATTCAGTCTATCATCATTCTTTTTAAGTCTGAAAACAACTCATCAATTTACTGAGAAAGCAATTGCTTGAATAAAGTACGCCTGCATTTTCATATAGGTTTTGTATCATTTGAATGTCTCTGATTTGATTGTTCATTCCTAGTTGGCAGATATCGATCGTCGGATTCATCATATAGAGACTCTCATTGGCCAACCAGATCCCAATAGAGTGTCAGCTTTGACAGCAGATACAGTGACTCATGGTCTTTTAGAAGCATGCTCACGTTTATCCGCCCGTTCGTCGTTGTTTCAACAAGGACATCTTGATATGATTGAAGCTCGTCTAACGTCGCTGCAGACGAAGTTACAGGCTGTGACCGAGAAGAGGGAAGCTATCGCGGACTATGATATGCAGAATAAGGTAAATTGAAAACCTGGTATACTTTCAAATGTTTGGGTTATTCATTTAGTTGATTTTATATACATTTATAGTGGTTTGTTACTAGACTGTGTCCTTATAGAAGTGTCTAATAAATTCTAGGTATTTTTTAGTTCTTAGATTAACAAATAATTTTATCATTGAACATGACTTATGGTAAAATTTGTAAGTCTTAGCAAAGTTAAAATAAATGGATTGACCATATGTGAACCATTTCTACGTGTGTATTTCTCACTTATAGGCTAACAAACTGGCATTTATGTCTCTACGTGAACCCTCAATCATAAAGTGTGGATGATATTATCCCAACATACTTGAGAGGGTAATTTTTCTCTGATGTCAGCCAGATTGAAAGTTAGAAATACTTCATCTGCATTTATCTAACCTTTTGTACTGGATCACTACTTTACATTATCAAATACTTCTTCCAGACAATCATTGCCGCAAATGCCCTTCTATTAAGTGGTAGCGACCCGTTTTGGTTTGTAGTGTTTTAAAGACACGTTTTGCAGTTAGGTCAAACGCAATGGTGTAACGGCAGAACACAAGAATGGCTGGTAACGGAATGTTTATTTGCAGTTCGGTATGCACATATAAGGAAATTAATGTATTCTACATATTAAAAGTGTCATCTGCACAGATCTTTCGTGTGGTGCTACTTCTGCTCTTCGTACTGCGTTTCTGTCTTCTTTTCGTGTCTCCTATGTTTCGCCATAATACGAGTTCACTTTTTGCAAACAAATCCATATCTCCGCTACTTGATGTATTTGGGTGCATAGACGTCTCTTTATATACTACTGGTAAATCATGTCAGTAGCACACCGCACAACAGAAGTGCAACAGTGTAAGTCATTTGAACTGTTTTTCCAAAGCGCTCTGCTAAACGATCCAGATACTTTTTCTAGTAGGTCATTTAATCTGTACCTATCTCGGAAACCATTTCCTTTGTCACCAAAAATTTAGAGCTTGCTTCCTGTGTGGGTCTAAGTAGTTGATGGGTATTACCAATTGCTGGTGTTTCTTCCAGTCCTTTCATTTTGTTGCCTACATGAGTTCATAGTCGGTATTAAGGACTCTGATCATTTTACGTTTGAGCAGCTTCTTTCCTTATCAAGTTATAAGCTTGTCGTTACCAGCCAGTTCAAACAAAGTAGCGAAAATCTGCTAATGTGACTATTTCATAACGCTCTACTTTTTGCAGCAAAATAAACAACTTCTGATAAATGCCATTAGTCTAAAGGAATTTTCAGGATAATGTTCGCTACAGCTAGCTTTGACAAGCAAGCTTGAGCACGATATCAAGATAGTACTCATGGGTCACGAAGTTAGCAGAGTATCCGTTGAAGTAACACTAATTATGTCTTCTCTTTGGTTGTTTATCAATGTTTCGAGTAAATAATGAATTACTAATATTAGGATTTTCAATCACTTTTGTGGTTGGAAACAAGCAAGCCCCCATAAATGCTTTTCATTTTAGCAGTACACTCTGCCGTTTTTATCAGTGTTGTGTTAGTCGATGTAAGAGTAAGTTGGAAGTCAATAGAAGACACTAACCAAGAATTTACGAAGTTGGATTCCGTTTGCATACAGTTAAATGGCTTGTTGAGGCTCAAGTGGGATCAATACATGCCTTCATCTTATTGACTATAATATAGCACTCTTCTTTTGTCTCACCTTTTCTCCTGTCTTGCAGTTAACTGTAAAATCTAACCGTGCTACTTCAGTTTCTATCTACTGTTTCCACATATTAAGTATGGAAACTTAGAGTTTTGTTCAGAAAGATCGAAAACACAGGCACACCATTCGGTGCCTGACATAAGTCTACATTCCCTAACCGGAAGGCAACATCTGAGTCAGTTGATCAAGAAAACTTATAATAATGTTTACTTATGAAAGAAGTGTACGTGTAAAAATTGCCGCAATCATCGTAGTAGCTAGTATGCATGCTCCAATATTATTTTAAAAAGATCCGCACGTTTATCTACATTCCTCTCACATTAAAAAGTTCGAGTCTTGGTATCATATCATCGAAGACTGCTAAGTATAGTTATATTGACGGCGTTCTGACAAAATCTGAAGATTACACATTGTTACTGGCCAAAGAAAATTACCCTCATTCAGTTACTTCAGTATATGACCCCAAGGATTGATTTTGTTGATTATTAACATGAATATTGAATATCAATGATTCGATTTAGAAATTTTCACCCTGAACGTGTGTTTACTTATTGTTCACTTTTAGATAGCAGAACTGTATGAACTCGTGAAAAAGTGGAATGACGTGGCTGACAGTCTGCCAATGATAGTGGAACGTCTTAGTAAACTAAAATCTCTACATGAGGAAGGTAAGCAGGGCTGTGAAGCTTACTGGTGGTTCTGCTTTCTCTTTGTGGTAACTATCATTTTTCGTTCTATTATTAATAAAACACATTTTTTAGATAGTAAGTACTAATTAGGAAGATTCATGGATGCATTCATAGGATTATGACACCTGCAAATCTGTTAGTTGGTTCTGTAATTTAGTCTCAGATATTCTTTAACTTGCCTAATTACTTTAACATTTCTAAACATTATTCAGCTTAATAGAATAGTCTTTGGTTAAAATCCTTGTTTAGAGCGGATTTTTTTCCATTATATAAAAAGTAGACCATCTTATGTGGTTCAAATAGAGCCCTTTAACCGTCCAGATACAAAAAGGTTTAAGATATATTTGACTAGACAATAAGCGCAACCGATTAGGTGAAAACTATCATACCACAGGAACACCTAAATAACCAAATACTCAATCAACTACATACCAGTGGTGATTATACTAGGAATAGGTTGCATGCAGTGTCGATAGAGTGTAGTCAGCAGCACTTATCTGCGAATCACAACTTACCGCAGTTGGGCTATAGTGCAGTGCATGACTGGCTACGTGCTCAAGCAATAAAGAAGCTAATATGAATCCTCCTAGTTTACGTATCAGTGCGGGTTGTGATTATGTCTTTTCATAACAAGCTGGTCAAATTCCTGATTCCAAAACTACCAGTCCAAAATATATGAATATACATAAAGATGTTACTAGCTTTTACAGAAAACTTCGAGTGAGTAGTATAGTGTTTCTACCTTACTTCGTCGGATTTTTTCCACCTAACCTGCTATAAACGCTTGACAGAGTCTAAGAAGAGATCAGTTATACCCGTTAGCACGAATCCATTATTATAGATGTTTATCTTTAGTGTTATCCAGTTATCTTTATCCAGCAAGAGTGTAGCGCGAAAATGAGTGTAAGCGCTCAGATTCTACCCATTAATTAACTGTCAGACTCAACTACTGTCTAAATCGAATGTTTTTCCTTTGTCTATTCAGCTTCTCAATTCAGCCAGTCTCTTGGTAACATTGAATCAAGCCAGAAAAATGTAGAAGCGAACTTAGCTTCTTACACTAAACTTTTAGCAGAAGTAAGTATTGTTTTATAATTTCTACTTCATTTCAGCTAAAAAATAACGTTTTGAAAACCATGGAAGGCGTAAAGGATAATTTCTATACAATAGAATCACATTTCTCACAAGAACCCAAATAAATCTCTCATCAGATATACTGGCAATTGTTGAGATGCACGTCCATTTCAAACTCTTTTCTTTGGAAACTGATTTTCTGTTATACTTCTTGTTTACACAATGATAACTGGTTATTGGTTTTTTTTAAAAACAATAAAAGCTTAATCGAACATTCATCGTGAAACCGTTATTCCTGGATAATTGTCTGTTATGAAAAAGTAGTTGCACACTGTTACTTATTATTGTCAAGACCTAATTTAACGTTTCGTCGCGTAATTCAAAACTCGTTTCATAATAAATCAGAGAACTTTGAAAAATAAAAAAACAGTCTGTATAATTATGCTTACTATTTAATCCAAGTTCAGTAGTAAAATATTGCAGTTTTCATTTGTAGCACAGTAGTTCACATATTTTTCTAAGTAACATGGATCTTGCTAAATCATTCTTAGGAGTATTTTACCTATAACTTTTATGTTATTATCGCCATTAACCACTTGACCGAAAGATGGTTAAGGGACAGTATTTAACAGCTGATAGTGTTATAGAAACTGTCGAAGTTATTAGAATGTTTAAATATCTGCAAATTTCTGTCTTAAAGAGACTGTCACTATTTAAATACAAACGAGGCGATAATGCCAGTTGTTTCTCTTATAAGAATGAGTATCGAATTTCTCTGTTGACATCAAGCCGCTTTCAGATTAACAGAGTCAGATTATTGATTAACACTGAGTGCTAAATTGTACTAACAACAACACTAAGCAAGTTTCGTTTAATAACATTTCAATAAGTAATTTATATTTTTTGATAATAACAAAGCCAAAGAGTTTGGTCAGGGTTCACAGGAAGATTTTTCAATGAAACTACTATCAAATGGTGGTCCATTAAGCATGCGGCCATAGATATCGTCTTCTGTCAATAAGCCTTTTAAAAACCAGTGCTCGACCTTCTGGAGTAGACATTCTAACGGATTCTGACATTTTTCTTTCTCTGCGAGAAAGTAAAATAGTGTTCATTTTTGAGCGGAAAAAGTTTGGTGGACCAAGTCTATGAAAAATGGGTTGCATCATCCTTTCATACGACTTTGGAAGACGATTGTTTCTGTAATTATTGCCAACTCCATTGAGCTTCTGAAATTACATGAATAAGGAAAAGTTATGAACAATATATATCTATAAGCATGGGTTGACTCCTACATTTCATCCAGAATCATTAGTTAGTACGAGGTAATTCAATGGCTTAGTATCAAAAATATTGCTTTTCGAGCTCATTACAATACAATAAATATTAGAAAACAATAAAAACCGACGCTTGTCAACCTCAAAGTTCATACTACCGCCTACAGCTTAGAAGCGGAAGTTTCGAATGCCTTGGTGACATTGACTGCATCCGGAATTGAGAAACTTAGTCTAATATAGTACACCTTAAAACACGATATATCTCTGAGATTACGTATTTTTAGCCAATGCTATTCTATCCTCAGCTTGGATTCTTGGAACCTTTTCAGAGAAAACATTTACGTGGTCACTAATGTAAAATGTAAAGTTAGTAGTAATTGAGTTCTACTAGCAATTATTTTCTTAGTTTCTCGAACAAATGGACGAATTATCCTTGACACACTACTTTGGAAGTTTAGCTAACTTGAATTTGAGAGTGCAGTGTATGCTTCATGATATTCTGAACAGATTTAACCCTTACTCGCTTATACAAGCTATGCTTGTTTATCCTGCTGATATCAGGAATCCAAAGAATTGGATGACTGTGGATTCACATTTTCAATTTTATTACTTTGTAAAGTTTCACACTGATAATCTTGTCGTCCATATTATTTTGGTAGTTATACCTATTTGACTGTTGTTGCTACTGAAGAACTAGATATCAGTAACATCAAGAATCTAATACACTTAATCGGTTTTAAGGTAAGAATAATACTGTGGTAATGTGGGGCCATATAACTCTGTAATTAACTAATTTATTTGGTTTGGCACAGTATTATTGACTGATGTGTGAAACGTCAATTCCAGTTTCCGTCACCTTGGTTCTTACTGAAAGCAACGATTATTAAATAACACCCTATCGTTTTGTTATGTCAAACCTACTGTGGAGTGAAGGGGTCTTACCACTGACACTAATTTAGAAATTCCTACTTATCATCGCCAAAACTGATTCCCTCAAACTTACTTCTGGTTCAAAGTGCCGAACTAGGTTTAAACTACGACAGCTGGATGATTTGCGTAGGATTGAAAGAATAGGACTCCAAACAGAAATATGCATCCTGAAGTATACGGTAATCCGTAGGCAGCAGATAGGATCGCACCTTTAGGGTAAAAAGCACAAAGGATAACTTACATATTATTCACGAGTTAACAAACTTTGAGGAATTGACCTCAATAGCTTTTAAAACGATAACCTACAGCTGCAATAAAAACTTAAGGTAGAATAAGTTAAGATCGACGGTACTGTTGCCCACAAAAACCTCACTCGTTCACTACAGGGTCATCGCTCATCTGTCGAAAACAGTCGCTTCCAAAAAGACTGCATTTTGGTGCGAATCTAACATCTAGCAGGCTTCGCCTAGAGAATTTCATACAATGATTCCCTTTTATAAATTTGAACAAGGAAAGAAGAAACATCTCTGATGAGAACCAACGAAATAAAATGGATCCAGATTATTCTGCGCCAATGTTTCTTCTTTCCTTGTTCAAATTTGCCTAGAGAGTTTCACGAATGCATTTCAGAAACTCCTGGCAAAGTGCCTTGAATTACTTCGCCATATATTTGCTTACCTGAGGACCCTGTAGCATCACTGGCTGACAACTCGTTTACTTTTTCCAATCGAAATGATTCCCTAAGTGGTAATGTGCTAATTAGATACTCGAACGCACGTGTCAGATGTACACTCTTGAAGTTGAGTCGTTCTAGTAGACCATCGCAACTGGATGCTAGGTCATATAATGTACATTGTATTCTGGGGAGATTATAGCCTATTTTCAACTAGCATTGGCAGGGTCATCACCGTTGTGTTACCGGGAATCCTCCCTCGGCTAATTATACTTAGACCAGCAAGGCGACTGACTACGGAAAAGAGGCCTACACATTCAAAACAGTTCACCCTAACGCATAGCGCTCCAATTTTGATTACCACTGACTCTTCTAAAGGAATGGAGTCTTCGCCACATGACTGGACATAGGATTTTCACAAGATTTCGAACAGCTCTGGTGGATGATAGTGAAGATAAGACTGTTTCTACACGTTCCAAGACAGAACGGTATCCACCATTACAAATCAACTTTGGTATTGTTCTGTTGCTATTCCGGTCAACAAATTGCTGCTACCTTTACGTGATGGTCGGATGTTAATATTACAATGGCCTAAGAAGGTATACTGTTTTTGTGGTTGTCGTCTAACTTCACCACAATGAGCTTCCAGTTGCAACACTACAACCAACTGATCACCTGGAAAATATTCCCCACACTGAGGTGGAGGCAAAATCCAGATTTAACTGTGACAATGACAACTTTATTATTGCAAAAAGAGCATATATATATTGTTTACACATCCACGGAAATGCAAACCATAAATTAATAAGCAATATCTGATTGATTGTATGACCGTGAAGATCTTCTGGAAATAAATCAATCAAAAGTTATCGAATCAGGCTATCATGTCGTTACATGCATCAAGCATGACTTTACGGTTAACGACGATAGGTTGCATATTCCCGCTGGTCCTACCATGACAGAAAGGTCGTTTTTATAGCGGTTAGATTGAAAGCAGTTACCATCTCAGTGCGAGTTGTATATGCTATGATAAAGGCCTGTGGACGAAGTGGTACTATGAGTGGACAAGTGTAGTGGCAGCAACATATATCCGGTAAGTCGGATATTTCGCAGATATAGTCATCCTAGCAGAAGATTCTTACGGTCAGTTGCATTTGAGTCAGTCCGAAAAGTATATTGAGGTATCTAAAGAATCGCATGCTGAATAATTACATCGGTAACCATCTTTTATAAGCCTGCCTTGATGACTACCTGTTCCTAAAAAGCACCAATTTTAAACATAAGGAGGCATTAACTCACTGGACGACCGCCAAAATCAAGGCAGCGATGCTATTTAACAACAAATTGCCTTTCCACGGTGTTTGTAATGTGCCATAACTACTGTATGGCAGCCACCAACACTACCTAGCAACCTAAACCTCAGTAGGTGCAGAGGAATTGAAACCTGTGATACAGTGTTTAGAAGCCTCAAAAGATGATCCACAGCTAGACAAGACAATAAAAGGTACAGCTAAACAACCTAGCCATAAATTGACCATTAAAACGATGGGTGGAAGACTGCTTTTCCTTCTGGAACACTTGCGATGAGTGCGAAAGCACGCCAGTTAGTGTACGTCTACTACTGGACAGGCATAGAAGATAATTTGTTGAATGTGCCTACCCGCTTACTCATTTGAGATAGGGCACCGGACCTAAGGGGCTAGTTTCTGAGTATATCTCAGCACGGATACAAAACTTTGGTTGAGTATCTCTCAACATTCATCATGCTTGGTGCAGGCATGTACGTTGTGCAGCAGTATGTCGCGTGTATAACAGATGATATATGTCTACTGAAAGTGGAAGACATGGGAAAATAAGCGTTTCATTGAGTTTCCTGTCTCACGCTATATAACACGGTCAATAATAACGGAGCTAGATGTAGGGCATTACTTAAGGACTGACGGTTTATCGGTAAGGTTGTGAAGTTGTGTCGACTGAGATGACCGAGAGATGTGCTGCGAATGTGGAGGCATTATCTTTCTCGACAAACTGCTAACTCGTAGCCACGTAGAATTTGAAGCATATTTAGAGGTCCAGTGATTATGAAGACGAGATAAATTTTTATAAATGTCTAAACATCCAACAGTTAGTGACCGAGAATGGGTAACCACTTCTATGGGAAGAGTGAAATCAATTTGCAAGGTTAATATACAATAGTGAAGAGATTATAGAACCACATCATTGTTGCAGTAATAAAGACCCATTCACCAGATTAAAACTACCCTCAGAACCATCCACTGACATTTTCAATTGAAGACTAACGTCATATCTCTACATGCATGGGATTTACTGTTGCGTTTTCCAGTCTTGGAAAATAAGACATTTACGGGGTTTTTGCATACCAGTGCCTAACTATGGTTTGGAATACGCTGGGGTGAAGCAGTAAATCACAAACCAAGTTGAGTAATCAACAAGGGAGAAAAACTAAGTACTTTTTTCAACACGAACGTATACATTCGTGTAATCACCAACTGTACGCACATGAGTGACTTCTTAGGTACTTCCTGTGTTTAAACAAACTCCTCATAGTTTTCCCGTATTACCAATTATATCAAATTAGTTACCTATTAATGTCCATGGAAGACCCCAAAATTTTTTATTTAGGTACGGCCCCATATATATAACGGACTATTATAATAGTCAGTGAATTTATTGTTCTATTAAATTATTCATATAATAATGCCGATTAAGTGATTTCAACTTCACCCGGTAATTTTTCAAAAGCCCAACTAAGTACTGCATACTAGTGTTCAGTGGTTTCCCTTCCTTTCCAACTTTCTTAAGCTGGCCAACATACTTGATACTCGCCCCAAGGTTAAACAAAGGTCACAGCAGTTCAATATCCAACGTTTTCACTACTATCCAATATCCTGATTACGAGCTAGTATAAACCAGTGATTTCTTTGAGCTCGCTTCTTGATTGTAAGGTAGAGGTTCCAGATCTTCGGTGAACTTCTGCGTAGTAAGTCCCGCCACTCGACTGCTTAAGCTCTGGTAGACTCAGATTCAGATTCAGTTGATAAGGATAGAAGGCTCTTGTGGCCTGTGTTAATCCTTGCAAAATATATCTCTGCAGAGATCTAACTTCTCTTTGAAAGCGTTCACCGATGAAGCTGTTACTACTGAATCAGGTAAGGAGTTCCAGTCGTTGACCACTCTGTGAGAGAATCTAAATTCTGCACGTATTTTAATCGTCCTCGGTTTGAGCACCTTTTTGCGGTGACCCCGTAAATGTATCCTAGAAGGGGAGAAAAGTTTAGAAAGGTCAGTTCCTAAATCATCCTTAAGTATACGGTATGCTAAAATTAAGTCGCCTCTCTTCCTTCGGTATGATAACGGAAAGAGATTTAAATGCTCCATCCTCTTATCATAAGGAAGGTGTGAGATACCACTAACTAATTTCGTTCCTACTCTCTGTACTCTTTCCAGGATATATGCCTCCTTTTTGAAGCATGGACCCGCCGCTTGTACGCAGTATTCTAGATGAGGCCTGACATATGTTGCGTAGAGTATTTGGAACATGCCCTCATCTAATCGTTTGAAAGCCCTTCGGAGTGCCCATAGCATTCGAAAAGCCTTAGCTGCGGCTGCATTGCAATTTGCAGTTGTTTTCAAATCACTGCTGACAATGATTCCTAGGTCCTTCTGTTCGTTAACATCAGGTAGTTCTGTGTCTCCTAGGGAGTACGACGTATAAGACTTCTGACCTAAGTGCATTACTGCGCTTTTCCTAGAATTCATTTCCAAACTCCACAGGTTCGACCACTCAGCTAATTTATCTAGATCAGTTTGTAGGGCCGACGTATCCTCGTTATTATTTACAGTTTTCCATATCTTAATGTCGTCTGCAAATAACAATGAAGATGAAGTAAGAATCCCTGGTAGCTCATTAACATATAATAGGAATAGCAAGGGGCCTAATACAGTTCCCTGAGGCACTCCACTGGATGCTGCTTTCCACCCTGATAGTACACCATTAACTCTAACCTTCTGCCTTCTATCCATTAGGTAATCCCTAAACCACTCAAATAGGCATTGGTCTAGTCCGAAACCTTTAAGTTTACTAAGGAAACCTAAGTGGGATGCTTTGTCGAATGCCTTGCTAAGATCAAAAAATCCACGTCTAACAGAAGGTTTTTATCTCTGGCCTCGACCCAATCTTCCCTAGCTAACAGTAAGTTTGTTAAGCAGGATCGTTCTGGTCGGAATCCATGCTGTTCAACTGCCAGTAAGCCATGTGTTTCAACATAAGCTAATAGCTGATCCCTTATAATAGTTTCCATTACCTTTGCTATAATGCATGTCAGACTTGCCGGCCTGTAGTTAGATACTAATTGCCTGTCCCCCTCTTTGAATATAGGGCTTATAATGGCATCCTTCCAGTCCCTGGGTAGCTTAGCCTGGGTCAGTGACATTTGGAAAATCTCTGCAAGCGGAATATATATTATATCCGCCAAGGAAATTAACAGTTTAGGGTGAAGTCCATCAGGCCCAGGTAATTTACCTGGCTTCAGTTTAGACAGTAGTTTGAGGACTTTTGTGTGCTCTACCACAATTGAGGGCATCTGAGTAGCGATGGCAGTGACCTCGCCATATCCCTGGGTGGTACTATCAGACGAGAAGACGTCACAGAAGTATTCAGAGAGGTTTTCAGCCTTTCCTTCGTCTGACTCAGCCGTTTCTCTACTAATGCTAATGAGTGACGGTATGCCATTGCTAGTTTTAGTCCTACGTTTAATATACGAGAAGAGCCTTTTTGGGTAATGGACACTATCTAGTACAAGTCGTCTCTCATATTCTATACGACTCTTGTTAATCGCATACTTACAGAGATTTCGAATTTTTCGGTAGTCTTTCTGGAAACTTTCCCTTCCTGTCATAATAAATTGGTCCCATAAGTTCTTTCTCTGTCTTAATAGCCTCCTTATTTCACTAGTAATCCAAGGTGGCTTGTGCGATAGCTTTCGAGGAGTGTACCAAGGTATAAAAGGTGAAGTGACACAATCTAGTGTATTTCTAAATCCTACCCAAGCTTCCTCGACAGTTCGACTGGTATCCCATTGGGCCATATCGTTGGCACTGTCACCGATATGCATTTGATGTCATGCAACAGATTCGCTAGAGGAATTTTGTCAGACTCTGAGCACCCACTCTACCAGCAACTCCAACCTTGTGTCTCCTCAGGTAAAACAAGAAGTCTTTTCAGAAGACTTTATGCACGTACGTCTAAGTATAAAAATTCCACTATACCATATTTAGCACGCACTTTATGTGATGAAAATAGTGTCAGAAATGAACTAACTAACCTTCTTAGCACCACTAAATAGACCATTTCCTTCAACCTTAAAGCATCATACTTTATTGCTATTGTATTTCTTATATTTATAATCCTCTCAATTTTTTCGTTTTGTTTATTTTATTTTTCATAAGTGTGGACATAATTTTAAGCTGTATTATGACTGTTAACTTTGCATTTCACCTCACTATACCATATCAACAGAACATTAGACCCAATTATCCATAACATGCTAAAGTTTCCAAACTGAATCGACAATACCGTTTGAAACAAACTCATTGTTATTAGTATTTATTATTATTATATCTAACAATTATGTCGTAAATGTGGACAAATTCCTCGGATTAATTTTTGATTTAATTTTTAATTTTATATGCACTTCGAGTAAATCAGATGCAATATTGTGACAAATGCTGAGAATTGCCTTCTGTATTATAAGTACTGTTTTTGGAATAAAGTAAATTATTATTATTATCTACTGACCAGTCAACTGCAGCTGCTGCGTTCCGGATTCTTTGTATATCCGCTTTCCAAATGTTTGGACGAGCAGATTTTGACCTGTGTATGAAAGAATGAATCTTAAACGTAAAAGCAATGACTATATGGTCACTGCTGCCAAGCGGCGGAAGGCACCTAATGTTACCAACGTCCTCCTTCTGGTGTGTTAATACCAAGTCTAGAGTAGATAGATCATGTTCCGGGTGATACCGTGTTGGTGCATGCATATGTTGCACGAGTGCACTGTCAGTGTGAATTCCCTATTGAAACAGATATACAAACTAGTGGAGTTTAATTCCCCCCAGTTAATGTGGGGAGCATTAAAGTCGCCAACAACCAGACACCTATTTCTACTACCCCACGCCCTCAAGTGATTTAGAACGAAGTCATCAGCTTGGCTAG